TACATACAAGGAATACATTCTTGAAATATATTTGATTTAGTTTACAGATAAACAAGAGAAAAAACACGTCACATAATGTAGCCTATATACGCTGAGTTTCAGTTGATTTTTGTGACAGGCTTAATTTGTTCACATAAAGGAAACTCAAATGGCAGAAAGCCACATTCTATTTGTTTTCTTTATTTTACAAAAGCACAATGTTTTGTTTTCATCGTGAGTGTACACAAATAAAAGCAGACCTTTATACATTGATGCATTATTAATAAGACAATAAGTGTTTAAAGTTGATTCTGCTGGTATAAGGAAACAGTTTAAGTGCACACACACACACACACACACACACACACATACATCCATCAGTTCCAGCATTGCTAACTTGACAGCGCAGTTGGTACTTTATCAAAATAAACCAAAGTGAACCAGTGAACCAAACATCAGCCCGCCCGCCCTCCTCTGTGTCACCGTTGGAACGCGACTGAAGTACAAAGTCTATAATTTACATAATAAATAATAGTTTAGCTTTCAGATACGTTACATCGCAAATATGGAAATATTATGGAATATTTGGATTTGTGCCGAATGAGAGAGGTAGGATACACAAGCACAAAGCTCCATTTCGCAAACAGTTGAGTGCACAAGCCTTTAAAGTATACTCCTTCGTCAGTCTGTGAGAGACGCATTCAGAATCAGCACATGGTCACTGTCTAGTGGGCTTTGTTTTCGCAACTCATGGCATTCGCTGTTCTTCTGCTGGCGGCCGGTTATCAAACAGCGTTGCATTCCTGCGGGCTACCCCTTCTGGATTGGGGGTGAATTGCCTGTATTCATTGTAAGGCCTCATGCACCGAACCGAGATGTCCGTACCGTGACGGTTCGGTACGAATACATGTATTGTTCTACCCCTAGTATATACATATATACATATATACAGTGCACAGCATAAATGAGTACACCCCCTCTGATTAAATATAAAAGATGTATTTTCTTAATGATCACTAATATAATTCATAGAAAGTTGAAAATGTATTAAACATATTCTTAATAAAAACAGAGAAATTCATGCCATTAATATCTGTAAAATAAAAACTTAGCCAATTTTTGTTTAAATGAAGGATTGCAGAATTGAGTACAACCTAGATTTAATTCAACCAAGTGTAATATTCTAGAACTTAATATGTCCTCCATAACTCACTGCTCTGACACTTCTTGACACTGAGTGTACAAGTTCATGACAAATTTTCACATCTGTGCTGTTTAACTCCTGGAGGACGACCTCCTTAAATGCCCTGGTCTTTAATGGGGAGTGTTGCTCAGCTCGTCTCTACAGAATCTCTCACAGCAGTTCAAGAGTGTTAAGATTGAGTGAAATACATGTCCACTGAAGGATTTTCAACTCAGGAGAAAGAATATCTTCATTGTCATGTTAAAAAAAAGCCCAACAATGCAGGGAATGAGAAGAGGGAAGCATCTTCAGTTTCAGGTTTTTGTATTACAGCACACAGTGGTGTGTGAATTCATGACAACTCCCTCACACCTTCAGCACTCATACATCCCTATAGAAGAGCTTTACTACCACTGAATGCCACTGTGGGAACCAGGCACTTCTCTCTGTACTCCTCTCCTCTAGCAACACCAGAACATTTTGTATGCTGTTAGATCCGAAATGATTGAATTGGTCTCATGAGACCAGAGTATGGATTCCCAGAAGTCTATATTTTGTAAATATGGACCTTGGAAAAAGCTAAATGAGTTTAATGTGCTTTGGCTACAGTCGGTAGTTCTGGTGTGGATAAACAACCATGCATGTCACTTCTGCATGCTGCATCTTACTCTGTTAGATAAAGTGTTACTCTTTTCACAGCTTTTGCCGGCTCTGAGACACTTTCACAGTGTTTCTCCTGCTCTTTTTCAACCAAAAAAATCACACATCACTAAATGAAAACACTTTAACAGTATACTTACCTGTTGATCAATACTTGCCTTAACCTTACATCCGTTCTTTTTTTTTTAGTAACTTTCAGGAGAGTGTACTCATTTTTGCAACACAACATTTTATCACTTTGATAAGAAAATGGTATTTTGAATCATTTTAACATTCTTCGTTGGTAACTGATCAAGCAGACATGCTGAAATATTATATCTCTAAAAAACCATATAATGTCTTCTAAGCAAAGAGTAATTGCTGAATTTGTTAAGTTTCAGAGGGGGTGTACTCATTTATGCTGTGCACTGTATATATATATATATATATATGTATATATGTATATATACAGTATCTCACAGAAGTGAGTGCACCCCTCACATTTTTGTAAATATTTTATTATATCTTTTCATGTGACAACACTGAAGAAATTACACTTTGCTACAATTTAAAGTAGTGAGTGTAACAGCTTGTATAACTGTAAATTTGCTGTCCCCTCAAAATAACTCAACACACAGCCATTAATGTCTAAACCGCTGGCCACAAAAGTGAGTACAAGTAAAAATGTCCAAATTGGGCCCAATTTCTCTCCCCGGTGTCATGCGACTCTTTAGTGTTACAAGGTCTCAGGTGTGAATGGGGAGCAGGTGTGTTAAATTTGGAAGTTCAACATGGCACCTCATGGCAAATTAATATATAAAAATAATTGTTGCTCTACATAAAGATGGTGTAGGCTATGAGAAGATTGCCAAGATCCTGAAACTGAGCTGCAGCACGGTGGCCAAGACCATACAGCAGTTTAACATGAGAGGTTCCACTCAGAACAGGCCTCGCCATGGTCCACCAAAGAAGTTGAGTGCACGTGCTCAGCGTCATAGCGTCCAGAGGTTGTGTTTGGGAAATAGACGTATGAGTGCTGCCAGCATTGCTGCAGAGGTTGAAGGGGTGGGGGGTCAGCCTGCACACTGCATCAAATTGGTCTGCATGGCTGTCGTCCCAGAAGGAAGATGATGCACAAGAAAGCCCGCAAACAGTTTGCTGAAGACAAGCAGACTAAGGACATGGATTACTGGAACCATGTCCTGTGGTCTGATGAGACCAAGATAAACTTATTTGGTTCAGATGGTGTCAAGCGTGTGTGGC